AGGTGGAAAAACAGGTGATGATAAAACCAGAGGCTGTTAAAACCAAAAGATTATGAAACCAGAAGATTAAAGAAACTAAAGATCATGAATCCCCAAAAAATTATGAGCCCGAAAAATCACGAAACCTGAAGAAAGATCATAAACCAAAAGATCTTGAGAAAATCATTAAACATGAAGATGAAAATCCAAAAGATCACGAAACAAAAAATGTTGAGACCAGAAGATCTAAAAACTTAAAGATCATGAAATTCGAAAATCCGAAAGGAAGAAAACCAAAAGATCACGTTAAAATAATTTCAAATATCTCGAAAACACCGGAAGATGAAAGAATATCTTGTTTAATATTCTGTTCCTGTTCTGTTTGCGAGACATGGAACTTTGATGAGGGGAGACGGGAGATACTCAGAAAGAGTTATAAAAGATAAGATAAAAAGTAAACTGGATTTTAACAGAGGAATAAAAACAAACATAATAATGCCTAGGCAGAATTTTATTCATAACACTATTGGAGAAAAGAAATAGTTGTAGAGGATCTATTAACTCCTTGAATCCGAACTAGGAATCCTGGAAGAAAAAGGAGAAAATACGGAAAATCCAGTAGTTGTCTAACCTGCATCGGATCAACATGTTCTCCTTCATAGCAGTTTGTTACCTACAAATATATTGCTAATAAATGTTAGATCTGTCTTAACTAATCTACTTCTGTATGGTAGAGAATTAATGCAAAGGTAGAATGGGAAAACTAAAATTTAGAAAATGTATAGAATTTACAGAAAACGTAAAAAGGGCATGGAAAATGGTGGAAAAGGGATAAGAAAAGGTAGTTAGGGAATAAAATAATGTAGTAAGCGGGGAAGGTAAATGTGCAAATTATAGAGGAGGAATGGAGGTATAATGAAGGTGTATTAGAGGTGGAATACTAATTAGATTTCTCTAAAGAACCATGAGAAAAGTAGATTAAGAAAAACCGAAGAAAAGTAACTTCAAAGGAACCAGGAGAAAAGTAGTTTCATAGGAACCAGGAGAAAAGTAGATTCAGAGGAACCAGGAGAAAAGTAGATTCAGAGGAACCAGGGGAAGAGAAGATGTAGTGGAATAAAGAGAGAAGAGGGTAAGAAAAATCAGAGCAAACTTTAAAGGTTATAAGGAAAACTTTACAGGTACTTGTATTACTCTGTTATGAAGCTTGCGACTTGCTCATGATATCTTTCTAGTCCTAGAATATTTTCATATTTTATCCATGGATAATATTTTGAATCTTATTATGAGTTGAAAGCCTATATATTAAACTTTTACATACAATACAGCCCTCCATAGAATATATTAGTTCTCAATACACTAGAAATCTGAATAATTTGTCGGAGTTAGGCTTTCAAGATTTAGAATGATAAAGTGAAGATTACAAACTAGAGAGTAAGTATCGTCGAGTCAGGACAAGCATTGCATTTAGTCAGTTTAGGTGACCCAAGAGTTTAGTCTTTAGAATGTGTGTTTAATTTTAATTGCAAGTTCCTTCTTTAAACTTGCTTTCAATTTTAAGGTGATAAAAGTGTTATATACAGTGTGTCCCAAAAAACATGGGAATTCAGTGACGAATTGGATATCGTCTTTGTTATGAATTAGCATTGTAATACCTAATTTCAAAAGCCATAATATTATGTCTGCTAGAGTTTATTTTATGAAAAGGGTAAAAGACTATAACATGTGTCTATAATGTCTCCGCAAGATGAACAGTGAAGACGGACAAGTTTACTCTGTTTGTATACTGCAATTTTTTTGTTTTACTAAGTACAATCGTATTCAGTCAAAACATAAACAAACAAAATGTGAACATAGCAGACGAAACTCTTACAGATTACAGCTTTCTCAGTAGGTATAACTATACTAAAATAAAAAAAAATTATTTGAAAAGACGATATCGAATTCGTCACTGAATTCCCATGCTTGTTGGGACACTCTGTACTCTGTAGTATATACTGAAGGGGGGTCAATTTTAATATTTCCAACTGGAATCGAATGTATATTTTCAATCTGTACAGCTTGTAGAAAACAAGTATTTCTGTGAAACTACAAGCATTTCTTTGCAAGTCACAAACACCGGTTTCCGCATTGTAGTTTTGATTTACAAAAAATGTTATATTTACGAGTTCATCCATATTCCGAGTGATCATAGTGGAGTTGTAAAAATAGCCCCAGATACACATACATACAGACTTTTAAAAGAAAATTAGGAAGTTCAATATTGATTTTGCAAATTATACTGCGATCACTTTGCAATTATCATACAGTAATGTAAAACCAATGAAAAACTACGTGATTTGTTCAAATAATTGGTGGATAAGGTTTAAGGAGATAAGTTGGATAGTTAGGGAAACTCTGACTATTTCTTTTATCTGGAAAAGTTAGTTTTTATCTTCTCTGCTACTATAGGACACATTTACTCCAGGGAGAGAAGATTCTTAATTGTTAAAATATATAATTTTTTCAAAAATATTTTCACATTTGCCACGATATGCATATATATTTTGTCCGTTAGAAAAGCTTCATTTAAATGCCATCAAAGCTACGCATTGAGGATGGGATTTCAGAGACGACTTCACAGTTTTATTTCGACTAATCTCTCTTTAATTGATGATAACCCTAGCTTCAAACTATTTTCTTTATCAAATTTGTTAGTAAACCCACAAAGAATGAGACTGTATATACATGTTAATACGACTCAAAACTTTTCAAATATGAAAACCCCAAGTATAGATATAAGTATTTCAATGATTTAATGATTTGAAAAAGAAAGTTTATATTTGAAGCGAATTATAAAAATATAAGGAAACAGGCAGTATAAATTTCGTACAATCGTTATTAAAATCTCATATTTTTTGTAGTAACCTTGTACCACAGGATAGATATTTTAAAAATTATTTTCTTTACAACAAAATTTCAAAAATCTCGTCAAAAAGGAGAAAAAAGCGACTCATTTTTAGATATATTGGATATTTCAAAAATATCTCGAATATCTTAAGTTGGAATTTTCAAACGGGGGAACAGTAAAAAGGAGTTTGTTTTGTTGATATTCTACATCATATAAAAATGCATAGGCGTCTAGAAACTTGGGGCTTAGGTATTCCAACCATCGTGCATCAATGAATTGTATTTGTGTAGAAGAGTGTATACAATATTCTGCAGATATATCCTTACAGAATAAAATTACAATAATATTTAATGTTGATAAACATTGGAAATCTGTATACTTACTCAGCATTTACTCTGGCGAGTGGAGGAAGGCAGGCGGTCATAAGCCACGAATTTCCCCCTTCCATGCCACATATTAGCTTTTTTGTCCTCCGGCAGACATACGCCTCTTTCAAAAATCCAGCCGCATTACGCGAAAGCTGATACCTTTAAGAAATTTTAGAATGTTATTGAAGATCAATGAATTGTGTATCCAGATGCTTTACATTTTATAAAGAAGATTTTGCATCGTTCTACGCATTGTGGGCACCGAGGCAAGTTGTTTGGGGGTAGTCTGAAGAATAAGAAAGATGAGAAAAATCACAATATTAACTGTCATTACCTGACCCATGCGTTACAGATTTCCACACAAATAATCTATTTTGCAATTATCTCCTTAAATAGTGCAAATTTTTGGTCATAGATGGCTTTCAAAGATAATTCATTTGAAAGATTGAATCTATTTTTGGGTAAAAATAAGTTCAGCAGTTTACATTATTTATACAAGCTTTAATTACTCAATCTTAATCTCGCATTCATAACTTACTCAATCTTAATATATTATAATCAGTCATTCTTTATACTTACTCAACCTTAATCATACATTCTGTACTTTCTCAATCTTAATCTCGTTTTCTTTACTCAATCTTAATATATTAATCATTCATTCTTTACTTACTCAACCTTAATCATACATTCTTTACTATCTCAATCTTAATCTCGTTTTCTTTAGTTACTTAATCTTAATTTCTTTCCTTACTAAATCTGAATCTCACATTCATTACTTACTCAACCTTAATCTCGCATTCATTACTTACTCAACCTTAATCTCGCATTCATTACTTACTCAGCCTTAATCTCGCATTCATTACTTACTCAACCTTAATCTCGCATTCGTTACTTCTTCTGTATTAATCTCGTTTTCTTTATTTACTCAATCTTAATCATACAAGCTTTACTTACTCCATCTTAATCTGGTTTTCCTTAATTACTTAATCTTAACTTCTTTATTTACTTGATCTTAATCTCGTTTTCTTCACTTACTAAATCTTAATCACACATTCATTATCATAAATTCTTCATCAAACATTCATTTATTAATTGAAAAACTCTATGATTATTTTACAACATATGCGCGCATAGGCGTTAATAAGGGGGGTTATTTCATAAATTTAATTAAAGTGTTTCGCTTATCCTGAAAGTACTAAAACTGTAAAGATCAGTGATCTAGGTTGGAAAATGTTCATTATTTTAATGAAACAAATCAGGGTTGAAATGAAAAAGAATCAAGAAATAAATATCATATTTTAGTTTGCTGACGTAGTTAAATAATATTAATAAACAATCATGCAGGGTTCTCAACAAATAAAACGAGACTTCAAAGAAGAGTTAAAATATTTCTCACATTAATGATTTCCTGCATTAGAAAAATTCTTGTTTCACAATTAATTTTATTCATAACTCCCAGAAAACCTAAAATTTCATCTGGATTGCAATTTTATTTAATATTTTTATTTAATCTCGGCCTAATTAATAAGTCCTAATCCTTTTAAAATAAATACCAAAATATATCAAAATTCATGTTTTTGATAAAAACGACTTTAAGAATTATGTTCCTTTAATAAATATAAAATAACTTTGACTGTCCCTCTAATAAATTTAAATATCAAAGTTAAAATTGTATAAACAATGTTTCCATTTAAAAATAAAATTCACAATATTTAACAGTTTTATCACATTTAAAAATAAATAAGAACTTTAAAACAATGTACAAAGAGAAATCACATTTATTTAATCCACCAGAAAATTCATGTTACAATAATACGTTGAGGATATCAAAACTACGATATTTTTGGTTTCGGTAACTTAAAAGAACGAAACAATAACGCTTTTAATTCTTATAAAAAAAAACTACACAACTACATTGTAAATTACTTTTACACGTAATTTACAAATATTTTTAAACAGTAACGAGTTTACAAGCACTGACAGAAAAACGAAATAAGACGAAATAATATTTGTTAACCAAATCTAACCTTAACTAATAAAAGCATGGAAGTTATAAACGTAATTTGTTCATAAGTTCCGATTCAATGTGCAGCTGAAGTACAAGCATATTATTATAAAATCCCAAAACACAATTATAAAAATAAAATATACAATTGTAAAAGCAACAATTAATAATCTAAAATCACACAAATTAAATAAATTTAATGTAAAGGCGAAATCTATAAATCAGATCAGATCGTAAACTTTAATGCGCGTTTTGATCATGATTTCTCAAGCGCGTTCTTGATCTCCTTGAGTAACATGTTTCCGATGACAATGTTCTCTGTGTTGATGACAAGATTGGTAGAGGAGGAGATGGAGATGAGAACCACCAGTTTCTGAGCCAGGGTACTTCCAGCAAACTGCAGAATATCACCACTACTAGAAGGCACCTAAAATACAAGAAAATATTGATTAGATATTCTAGAAAAATGTATCTGAATAATGGATTTAAAGAAACTGCACGCGTAGTTTCAAGTGGCCCCGCATTGCAAAAATGACAAATCCCGATGCCAAACAGTTTTATCTGATCAAGTATAAATTAAATAATAATGATTATAATTTTGAAAAATTATTGTTTTTAATTGTGGTTTCTTGACCGAAGTGAATGAAAACATATAGAAATCATCAGAAAGAAACGTTTTTAAGCCTAGAAAACGACAATATCTTCCACATTATTTATCAGATAAACGTTGTCATCTTTGCATGAAGGGCCACTTGAAATTACGCCGCTTACAATTAGCGTATAAGCGTACTAACCAAAAACCAGTTTTCAAATACTTTCCAAGTTTGCCCTCTTTTGATAAATGAGTGATTTAAAACTATTTTTGTATAATTTATAATGCAAAATCACGCCAACTACTAATAAGTTTAGTCTCACGGTTAGTCCAGTATTTCGAAACCAATACCAGATTCAGTTTTTAATCAAAGTACAAAAGTGTCGTTTAACCTGTATAACGTTTGCTGCCTTATATATCCTAGAACAGATAGATTGTGTATCACAGGCGTGGCTGGGGAGCTCCACCTTTCCTTTCATCTCACACATTCCTCGTAGCTTCATCTGCTTATCCTTCCACTCCGTCTCAGCTAACCTATACAATATATTCATCATAACACATTCCTTGTAGCTTCATCTGCTCAACCTTCCTCTCAGTCTCAGCTAACCTAGACAATATATTCATTATAACACATTCCTCGTAGCTTCATCTGCTCAACCTTCCACTCAGTCTCAGCTAACCTAGACAATATATTCATTACAACACATTCCTCGTTGCTTCATCTACTCAACCTTCCACTCAGTCTCAGCTATATTCATTAATATTCATAATGTAGTACAGTGTAAGAATTGAATACTTTATCTTGAAAATCGACGATATCTTCCACATTATTGATCAGATTCAGGTCTAAAGGGTACCGTTCAAAACAAATCTTGAATCATTTCTTAAAATTAAATTTTCATTTTATCCGATGCGGATCCGGATCGTGAAAAAAAAGAATGGTTTGCTTTAATATTTGCTTGGCACTTAGATCTAGAAACATGTTGTTGAAATGTTATGATGCCAAAGGACCCTAAGCACTGCAAAGAGGATATAAAAACACTTTTTCTCTATATTTTATGTGTAGTGTGGCGCAGTATACCTGAGAGGCCGAAGCATCTCCCCAGTAGGAGGCTGAAGGTTGACAGCATGAGGTCGGTTCCCAATCACAATATCAAAATTTCCAGATTGTGTCGAATCCCTAGAACATGGTTTATTACACCAAAAGACCAAAAGTTCAAATTATCATAAACTTGCCAACTTGACCTTAGGTAGCTCTTACCATCCCATATGACTTTTTGTAGCTTGTATATAAAGATTTGAAAGAGTTTAAAGTGTTTCTATGTTTGAGGTTATATGGGATTTCGAGCCCAAAATGATTATTTTAGGTTAAACTACAAAATCTATTAAAAACGAGGATAGAACAAAAATATTAAGAATCAGGCTACAAAGTTTAACTATAGTAAATTTAACCATAAACCAAGGTCATTTGCACTTGTTTCAGTTTCATATGGCCCCTAATGCATCGGGTAATACGCCGGATTAACCTATGATCATGGAAAGGGCATTTGTTATAGCCCAGGAGTAACTAACTAAAACGAACCATCTTGTCCTCTCTGCATAAGCTTCGCCGTTATCAATAAAAACCTAATTAGTTAATCTACCTAAAATCGATTCCCAGTGTTGTGTTCAGACTCTGACCAGGAGTCAGGTTTAAAACTCCAGGGAACTCATGTAAACTGAGACCCGGAGCTAGACGCTTGGAACCAATCTTAATCTCTCCTGAATCTTCGGAACCATGGTTTATAAAGTTAAACTCTATCGCCATCATATCCGCTGCATAGATGTGAGGGTGTCGAGTATAACGGTAGTTCACCTTAACATTAAACCAATACAGGCAAAAGCAAGAAATATATGTTCCATAAGTTAGGTGTACTGCAAGGAAAGTAAACAACCGCTCTGCTGCCCAGGCTAAGTATGTTTACATTCCTCCATGAAACTGCAGTACACATAATTTTATGGCAATTCCTAATGCTCTTAAATACTTTGAGTAAAGATGTGTCTAAAATACATACTGAAGTAAAAACACAAAAATGTTGAAGTTATCAGACTAATAAGACGGTAAATAAGAAAAATTGGAGTTTATTTGTTAGCTATCTATAACTGAAAAAAATCGAATTTGTTAGAAGAACAAAATTCTTATTAGTTAAGCAAAAACTAGATAAATTGTATCAAATTTAATAGAAACTTTACGGCAGAACTTTTGAAAACTCACCCAACCACGTAATATAAGCCTAGTGGCAGGGCTATTTTTTAAAACCAAAATCTTAATAAATATTAATTATACCTGAAACCCTCCTGTAACGAGTTTGTTCAATAGCAATTGGAGCAGTAATTTTGAAAACTCACCCAACCCCGTAATACAGTGATAACCAGAAAACTCTGGAATAGGAAGTCGAAGCTTAAACCTTTATTACTTTAAGTAGCACAATGCGCATGAGACATAGCAGTTGTGCCGTTTAAGCAGACCCATTTAACTTACCAGGAAAGCTATTTGATTTATAACAACATCAAATGCACTTAAGTATTGCTTTAATGTCGTCTTTCTATTATACGGTTTTCTGGTTATCACTGTATCTCAAAGTCTAGTGGAAAGGACATTTTAAAAAAAATCTTCTGAATTTACATACCTGAACCCCTCCTGTAGAGAGTTTGTTCAAGAGTTCTACTGAACTAGTAGACACAAACATGGGTTTAGCGTCTAGTACATCCTTCTCCGGAGCCAAGGGGGTAGCTGACCCGGTCACAGGGGTCAGAGCGGGTATACTCATCTCCATAGGGGCATCCAGGTCCAGCAGCAGGTCCAGGTTGGATCTAGGGGGGTCAGGTTTAGCAACAGCAGGTTCAGAAGGTTTTGTTCCGTTGAGTTTAGAGGGTTTAGGTTTAACCTCTTCTTCTTCATCACTGGAGTCGGAGTCACTTGTCTCCGCTGGTTTCTGAATCCGGACTGGAGCCGGGGTTGGTTTGGGGACAGGAACCATCTTCTTTGGAACCGGTTTCTTCGCTTTAGGTTTAATCTCAGTGTCGGAGTCAGAGCTAGAGCTAGAGCTAGAAGACTCAGAGTCGGATGTTCCAGAGCTACCGGAGACAATCTTCTTTCCATTCTGTTTATGGGAGGAGTCAGAATCATAGAATTTTCCTCCTTTCTGCAATATCATTATAATCAAATCTAAGTCCAACCGAACTAGATTATTGAGATTGAACTACATCAACATTAGAATAATAAAATAATTTAAGGTCTATTTACAAATTTGACTGTGACGTAGAAGGACTGCTTAGAACTAAAATAATATCAAATACTAACTTTCCTCGGAATCTTTACAAACTGTTTATATTTTTTATTTACCTTAAACCAGTTTCTGAGTAGTCCTAATAAATCACAATAAAATATACGAGAATCCTTTCCCTTAACCCCCATACATCTATTGTACTTAATACGGACGGACATTATAATTCTTAAAATTTAAAGGATTTTTAAAATTAAAACTAACCTTTGGTGCCTTTTCTTCTTTCTTCCAAGGATTTTCCGTAGGTTTGACAGGTTCCACGTTTCTCAGGGTTGCGTCTGGAGCCTGCTCCGGGAACTCCGGTAGGTCCTGGTATCCTGCTGCCCGGGCATTGATAAAGTGAGATAAAGAACCTAGTTGATAAGCCTCTCTGTTCTTAAACCTAGACTCGATACTTGGCGCTGGTTTCTCTGCCAGAAATATACTCTTCGCCATTTTCTGGATATTCCCGGGCTCAGCGGGGAATAGAAATGCGCGAATGAAACGTGCTCGGTCCCTGATGTCGTAGTTCATATCGTACTTGGCCAGGTTAAGCACGTACTGGGCTAGAAGTTTTGTCTGCTTGGAGTTGGTGAGGCAGAGTTTAACTGCTAGATTTAGAACCTGGATCTTTACTTCGTCCGTCTCCGCGCAGAAGGATTTGGCGAGCTTTCTGAGCACGTCTGGAGCAACTAGAGGGATACGGCGACAATACTCTCCAACCACCCACAAAACTGCAGCACGTGCACTCGGAACCTTAATAACAATAACAATAACAATAACAATAACACCAACAATAAAAACTTGTATTTTTGGAATTCGAAGCCTTGTATCATATTACTCCGGGATACCAAAGAAGAATAAAATGGGTTGGTAATGTAAAACCAAGGACAATAGGCCTGGCGACCCTTCAAAGTCGACCCGGGCTCAAAAGTAGTTGCAGAATTTTCATAGCTCAGTAGAACAAAGGTTTTGTAGCTAAAACAGTAGAATACCACTGAATATTTAACAAATAAAACCAAAAAGTTATCGATTTAAAAAACATTGTCAATAACACTGCAGATATGTTTAAAAATCGTATAAAGAAAAAAAACAACTCCACCTCTATGGTGTCGATAAGTTTTGCCATCTGTGTAATGATATCTGTATGCTCATCCTCCTGTACAAAAATATATGTGCTATCTATATATAAATTTGGCTTGTCTGTCTGGGTGTCTGTTTGTTTGTATCCAATAAACGTCAAAACGGCTGAACCGATCGGGCCCAATTTTTTTGTGGGACCACACGTGACCCCAGGGAAGGTTTATGAATGATCAAAATTTTAAAAATTTGTGTTTAAAAGTCTTTTATTTTTGAAAAATTTTGAAAATGCGCAAAAAAATATTATTAAATCCGCAAACTTTTTTGTTTTTGTTTTATACTGTACAAAGAGAAGATGTTCAGAGGTAAAGCCACAATTAAAAGTTGAAATAGAAGATGGGCGTGAGGCGCCCTAAAAACCTAGTATTGCTATAATGCTAGATATATAATTAGTTTGTTTGTCTGTCCGTTTGTATCAAATAAACGTCAAAAAAGCCGAACCAAACGGGCCAAACCTTTTTGAGGCAGCTCATATGACCCCGGGGAAGGTTTATGCATGCTAAAATTTACACATAGTTGTTTCCAAAAAACCTTGATTTTGTAAAATTTGAAATCAAAGATAAAATATTATTAAATCCACGAACTTTTTTGTTATTGATTTAAAATGAACAAAGAGAAGATGCTCACAGATAGAGCCACAATTATAAGTTAAATATAATATCGGCGCGAAGAGACCTGAAAGCCTAGTGCTAAATATACTTCAGTATAATGTACAATTTCACATATTTCAAACCTTGCACTGAATTGTACACTCTACACTACAGTGTACACTGGACAGAGTACATAAAGTAACAAGATACCAACGCTCTTGAAATGCGAGTTCGTGAAAAAATGATATCTCACAAAAATTTATACTTATATAATTTTTCATAAAAATCGTAGGTTTAAACAAGTCATCTTCAGCAAATAAGCAACAAATCTGAAAACGACGATATCCCAAAGGAGCCTGAAAAACTTAGGTTTGCTTCTGTTATTATTTGAATTTAATAATTTTTCATTTTTAATAGATATAATTTATAATATACACATAATCCAGACTGGACAAACACCAGGCTCGAATATATTTAGAAGACGACATTCTATAAGTCCAGTGAAGCCAAGGGATACATATTTGTAAATTAAGATACATTAATACCCCTTGCAATACAAATTTGTGTCATTTTATAACGTAAATGTTTACAAAATTCTGTTTTGTTCACTTTTACCATCAGTATAGTTGTACTATGTACATTTAACATGCAATTCGTTTCTTGTTATTCTTTGTGACTATTAAAGATAATAGGCTTTTAGGGCGCTTCGCGCCCATCTTCTATTTTAATTGTGAACATGTTCTCTTTGTGTACATTGTAAACAAAACAAAAAAAGTTTGCGGATTTAAACAAAAAATTTCGTGGATTTTCAAAATTTTAAAACATTTAATGAAAATCGAATTTTGATGGAGGCAATTTTTTTTAATTTTGTTCAATCATAAACCTTCCCTAGGGCCATGTGAGGTCCCACACAAAAGTTGGGTCCAATCGGTTCAACCGTAATGACAGTTATTGGATACAAACAGTAAGATAAAATTATTGTTTTTTATTTATTAGAATCAATAAAATCTATAATTTATGTAATGTTTCCATGATGATTGGCATTGAAATCTAAGGGAGTTAAGAATTTAAATTGTTATAATTTATAAACTATAACTAAATTTTGTTCTAAAATATTTGTTATTTATTTATATTCTCTAAATCAAATTTTTTTTTTTTTTAAACTGGCTCTTAATAAAAATGGTTTCCCCACCTCGCATAGTTTAACTGTAATGCTTATCCCACCTCGCAGGAATAATAAAGAAAATCAATGTTTAAATGTCGTCGTCATATATTTCTGATATTCTCTCGGCCTAGTGTTTGTTCTGTCTGGATGAAGTGTATAATAAATACGTCCGTATCATGTGACCAGATCTCCCACCAATGGCAGTGCAGTATCATTGTATAAACGATATAATATGATGTTATATCCCTCTTAGTCTTTTTAGCTCCCAAACTCTAGGGGTTTTGTCAATATGAAATAACTAGATTAGAATTAAACCTGTGTTTGAAGAAGTTTCTTGATTTCTAGAACACTCTCCGCTACAACAGCTTGGTCTGGTGAGGATAGGAGCTGAACCAGACCAGATAGACAGGTAGAGGTCACCTCAGGTATACTCGCCGCACACCGTCCTATCGCCTGGATAGTCGCTGCTACACTACTCTTCTCTCCACCGGCGATATAGGACTGGAACTCCCGGAGGAGCAGGGAGATGTTGTCCGCTCTCGCTAGGTTGGTCAACACTTCAAGCTTCATGATCTTGACGTGAGAAGGGTCGCATGCGCGCACAAAGAATTGACGTATGAAGGGATGAAAACTACGTGCTCCGGCTGGATCCTAAGTTATAGTTAAATTAAGAGATTAGTTACACGCAAAATAATAAAAAAAAACAAAGCTAGAAATGAAAGATTTAAAGAACATTTTATAAGAAACTTTTTAAAAAAAATATAAAAAAAAGAAGGATGGAGTTAAAAAAAAGTTTGTTTACCTTTATTGTCATAGATGCTATTGAATGTAGAACAATTGCTTGCACTTCATTGTGTGAACGCAGAAGACGAACAAGGGCTTTAGAGACAACTTGGATCTACAATACAGGAGGGGTAATAATACATTGTCGTTCATTTTCAAGAACTTAAAGGCTTTCATTGCTTAGTTATAACAATTTCATTTCACAAATATTTGCTATCATAAAAGTGGATATTTTGCTTTAAATATTATATGCTTTTTAGTCTGCTTTTCAAATATTTATGACTACAAATTTGATTTTAGAGATCTTTATTTTAGTTGTAATAGAACACATTTCGTAAAATACTTCGCCTCGAATTTCTTGTGGAATTTGTTAGCTGAAGCCATTGTTCAATCCTTTCCCCTTTAGTTAGGGGTGACTGGATACTGTTGTAATAGATTAAAAAATAATACTAAAAGTATATAGTAACTAGGACTAGGTACTGAACTGGACTGGGTTGGATCAAACAATACATCCCAATCAACAATGCTATGGTCGGCAGCTCCTGGCTCATCATGGCTCACAACTGGCTCTTCAATAAACAGTAAGGAAAAGCAAAACTATTTATCTGAATTAGTAAATGATGAAAAGGTATTTTTTACCTCTGGTTTGGGTGCCAGATGCCAGTACAACTGTGCAGTTGCCATAACTACACTGGCATTCCTACTCTGCAACAACGGTTTAGTACTCCTCAACAACAACCTAGCATTAACAACGGTTTAGTACTTCTCAACAACAACCTAGCATTAACAATGGTTTAGTACTTCTCAACAACAACCTAGCATTAACAATGGTTTAGTACTCCACAACAACAACCTAGCATTAACACATTAACAACAGTTTAGTACTTCTCAACAACAACCTGGCATTAACAATGGTTTAGTACTCCTCAACAACAACCTAGCATTAACAACGGTTTAGTACTTCTCAACAACAACCTAGCATTAACAATGGGTTAGTACTCCACAACAACAACCTAGCATTAACAACGGTTTAGTACTCCACAACAACAACCTTGCATTAACAACGAATTAGTACTCCTCAACGAAAACCTAGCATTAACAACGGTTTAGTACTCCACAACAACAACCTAGCATTAACAATGGTTTAGATCTCCACAACAACAACCTAGCATTAACATTGGTTTAGTGCTCCTCAACAACAACCTAGCATTAACAATGGTTTAGTACTCCACAACAACAACCTAGCATTAACAACGGTTTAGTACTCCTCAACAACAACCTAGCATTAACAACGGTTTAGTGCTCCTCAACAACAACCTAGCATTAACAACGGTTTAGTGCTCCTCAACAACAACCTAGCATTAACAATGGTTTAGAACTTCTCAACAACAACCTAGCATTAACAACGGTTTAGTGCTCCTCAACAACAACCTAGCATTAACAATGGTTTAGAACTTCTCAACAACAACCTAGCATTAACAACGGTCTAGTACTTCTCAACCTAACATTAATCTTGTGGACCGAATTTAATGAATTTGAGCCACCAGTTAAAATCATGAATCACTTAAAAGTTTAGGTTTCATGAGGATTTGAATTGGTGATTCAGTATTTCTAATGTCAATTTCGGTCTCTACAAAATCGAATCACGGATTTAAGCAGCAGACACGGAACGAAAGTGACGTAGAGGAAATAGATAATATCATCGTAACGACAAAGGAATAACCGATTCACCACCGGACCATTTAAACTATAAATGGTTCGGTTGTGAATCGGACATGTGCTTCATTACACAGTAATTGGAGGGTCACTTTAACTATGTTTAAGATTAAAATCATTATGTTGAAAAACCAACCTGTGATCTGGGTCCATCTTGTACACTGGTCTGATCTTGTTATCATCAATAATAATCTTCTCCTCATCCTCATCATCACTGTTCTCATAGAACTCCTTATCCTGAATACAAACTTATATACAGTGTATCCTATATTACATAGAACTCCTTATCCTAGATACAAACTTATATACAGTGTATCCTAAGTTACATAGAACTCCTTATCCTAGATACAAACTTATATACAGTGCTTATAACTCCTTATCCTGGATACAAACTTATATACAGTGTATCCTATATTACATAGAATCCTTATCCTAGAATACAAACTAATATACAGTGTATCCTATATTACATAGAACTTCTTATCCTGTATACAAACTGATATACATTACATGGATGAAATAAAGAGTTCGTATTCCATGAATAATAATGTTTATGAAGATGTGAATGAAGATGTGAAGTAACTTCCAAGTTTTTGGAAATATCTATCCATTGAATTACTTATTAGATAGAAAGACAATTATACCGTCATTCATTGAATAAGAGACCTTTATTTACTTGAATATAATGTAGGACATTCTGTACATGAAAACTTGCCATGTAACGTGTTTCCATGTAAAGTTCGTTATTAGAGAAACTTGGTCAGAATCAACCAACTCACAAATTTGATTTAAACCGAATACTCGAGTCCATGGTTGTGATGTATAACCTACCTGTTCCGAATACTCCAGTCATTAGTTGGGATCTATATCTTACCTATTCCGAATACCAGAGTCCCGGTTGGGATCTATAACCCATCTGTTGCGAATAGTCCAGTCCCTTATTAGGATCTATGTCCTACCTATTCCAAATACTCGATTCCCTGGTTAGGATATGCATCCTACCTGCTCCGAATAGTCCAGCCCCTCTGGTTGGGATCCATAACCTTCCTGCTTCTCAATACTTCAGTCCCTGATAACCTGGTTGAGATTGATGTCCTACCTGTTCCGAATAGTCCAGTCCCTAGTTGGGATCTATATTCTACCTGTTCCGAATACTCGAGTCCGTGTTTGGGATATATGTCCTACCTGTTCCGAATACTCGAGTCCCTGGTTGGGATTTATATCCTACCTGTTCCGAATACTCGAGTCCCTGGTTGGGATCTATATCCTACCTGTTCCGAATACTCAAGTCCCTGGTTGGGATCTATATCCTTCCTGTTCCGAATACTCGAGTCCCTGGTTGGGATCTATATCCTACCTGTTCCGAATACTCGAGTCCCTGGTCGGGATCTATATCCTACCTGTTCCGAATACTCGAGTCCCTGGTTGGGATCTATATCCTACCTGTTCCGAATACTCGAGTCCGTGGTTGGGCTCTATGTCCAACCTGTTCCGAATACTCAAGTCCCTGGTTGGAATCTATATCCTACCTGTTCCGAATACTCGAGTCCCTGGTTGGGATCTATAAACTGGGTTCTGGCATATCTAGTCAACATATTGAGTAGAGTAACTTGTCCCCACTCCTCTACATCAACCAGCAGGTTTACTAGTTTCCTGTAATAATAATATAATAGGAAGCACACATCAACTCCTCTACATCAACCAGCAGGTTTACTAGTTTCCTGTAATAATAATAATACAATGGGAAGCACACATCTGTTATTTCGGAAGATGACATTTTTACATTACAAATTATGTAATTAAAGAAAAACTAAGAACAGAACGAGAATAAATGGGCTTCGGGGCATGAAAAACAATGTTCAAGAAAGATTTTGATGCTCTGCAAAAAAAATGGAAGTTAAATAGCAAGTTTTCCTCTCAAGACACTTTTTACCTCATTTACATCATTTATTTCACGTTATTCCGCGAAGAAAGCACTAGCACAAATTTGCCTTTCCGAGTAAACATACTTAACATAAAAAAATGATTTCTGAATGATACTGACACCGATTTTTTTTATAAATTTTCATTTTCACAGATTTTTTACCTGTAATTTTTATGAATGAGATCAATACGGTCCGGGCAAACTTCCTCGAAGGCCATAGCTGCTGAGCCGACCACCAAGGTTGTCCTAGAAAATGAGAAAATAAAGTTTCACTGAAATTTTTTTTTTTTTCTTTCTCATCTTAAACTAGTTGGTTGGAGTGCTGAACGGTGACTTTTTAAAAAGAAAATGAAGATTCTTTTTAACTTTAACAATTTATTTTAATAAAATTTTACAATATTTTTAAATATTCATATAATATCAGATGGATATCTTGTTTGTACATCTTTCAATCATAATTCGGCTAATTTTAAAAATAAAAATAAAAGATTTTTTTGATGTCCTTGAAGTTTGCCACTTGACAAGAAAGAACTATTTTTAAAGAATCTTGCTTTTTTCTGAACCCTGCATTTAATTACTAGCTGAGGATCTTGCTTTCTATTCTCGGAACTCTATATTGAATTCTTAGNCATTGCAATAATTCTCTCCCTTGCATTCTTGCACATGTGTTAATATCTTTTTTTTTTAAATTCAACCTAACATCAAAGTTTTATGTTCTAAAACCTATGTTACAATGTACAAATTTTATAGAAGAAATAAATTTAAATTAAACATAATTTTTCCAATTGTTAAATGAAATTTCTCTTCATTACGTAAAACATAACATCCTAATCTCCAACACAATATTGTGATTGTTGAAAACAAACAACTATTTTTACCAGAACTGACCTTGGAACTGAGCAATGAACACAAAAAATAAATAAAATAAATTAAAAATTACATTATCCACAGTTTTACGAAAAGGTTATTCAATTTATGAGAAGGGCTTTCATAAAAATGTAAGGCCCCTTAGCATTTTTAAAATATTCAAAATAATACAAAATTTTAAGCACAAAATCCTTCAATAAAATGGTAAAAACTATCCCCCC